ATTAATCCGTAAAAACTATTCTAAGAGAAAAACAAATATTGGTTCTGAACTAATTTACATAAATGCCGAATGGGGAATCAAATAAAAGAATGAATTGAATAAATTTCTTTACTAAGTTTTAATTTAAAAAAAAAATATAAAATCTTAAGGACTCTACAATTCTCGAGATTATTAACTGATAAACTTTCCTGTAAGGGAATGAGACAACGAGGTGAAGCTACAACTTAAGAACTTTTTTCGTTTTTTTTCTTTTGTTGAAACTTTGTCGTGAAACTTTCCAAAGTGGAGGAAGCTGAAGAAGACCCTCTGGAGATCCTCACTTGAATTGCGATTCGACTGAAAACTTTTGATTGGACACACGCAATGGGATGTCAGGCGGTGCTGAAGTGAGATCATTACCAGGAGAGGCACAGTTGTTCTGCTGCAGGTTAGGTCAGGTCATTACCACAGAGCGAGGTCAGGAGGGGGAGTCTGGTTAGCTCAGGTCATTACCAAGGAGAGGTAGTTTGGTTTGGTCAGCTAAAGTCAGTACACAGCGTAGACAGTGAGTGACACAGAGCCTCCACTTGGCTTGAAGAAACCAAATGGATATTCACTTAATGAGTCAATTCGTGAGTCACTGAATGAGTCAGGTTAAGAGTCAATTCATGAATCATTTAATGAGTCAGTTCATGTGTCATTTAATGACTTAGTTCATAAGTTAATGAGTCATTTCATGAGTCACATAATGAACTAATCAGTTCATAAGTCACTTATTCAATCTCTTTATGATCACTAAATCAGCCAATGACTCAAACATACACGTGGAATGACTTTATTCACCAGTCACCGGCACCGGGTAATATTTCTCTTCTTTCAGTCAATACCAGTGATATTTCCATGTAGCTAGTCAATGCCCCTAACATTTGGACAAAATTTTTGAATCCGAGTGAACTCTCGATGTTGTAGATTAATTCTGGAAATACCAACCCATCACTTTTTTGTTTTTGTTTTTCTCTATTCCAGCGATGCCTGGATGGTGCTCTCAAAAGCTGGCAATATTTCGATTTTTTTTCTCACAAGCTGCCGAAAGTTCGATAATATATCTCGGATGTTTTATCAAACTCCACCTCATAGTAAGTCCTAACCGATAAACAATATTTGCATTATGTAGACACCGTAAGAACACGTACAACCGAACACGCAATATATCCCTGAACGGATTCAGTCCTTGGTTATTAATATGAGTGAAAGCGAGTCCCATTGACCGGTTAAGGGTAGTATGAACACTACACACAGATGTATATATATATATATATATATATATATATATATATATATATATATATATATATATATATATATATATATATATATATATATATATATATATATATATACACACAGGGCGATTCAGCAAAGAATACGTTAAATTGGAAAATGGAATCCTTGGATAATTCTAAACCACAATATCTCTATGGTAAAATGTCAGATTCTGCAGAGTTTCCATATTACAATATATTTAAGATGTTGTATAAATGAGAGTGAATTTGATGTGAAACCCCTATAGGTTTTTGTAATCATTTATCTCATTCCGTCGTACACGGTCCCTGTCTCACTGTACGTGTGTCAGCCATATGTATCACGCTGTACTGAAGACATCTGTGAATAAATGATTACAAAAACCTACGGGGGTTTCACTTCAAATTCACTCTCATTAATACAGCATCTTAAATGTATTGTAACATGGAAACTATGCAGAATCTGACATTTTACCATAAATACATTGTTGTTTAGAATTTTCCAATGATTTAATCCTCCAATTTAATGTACTCTTTGCTGAATCACCCTAAATATCACTAGCCAGGAATCGAACCCCAGACCTCTGCGACAAGTGAGGTATTGTTTGTATATGGAAGTCGGCGTGCAATATGGACTGATGATATAATGATGTGTTATATGTGGACTTTAGCAAAACCATAGATAGAGTCCCCTACAAAAGACTAATAAGAAAAGTGGAGGCTCATGGCATTAAAGGAAATATTCTAAAATGGATTAGGGCGTGGTTACAGGACAGGAAACAGCGAGTGAGCATTAACGACACTAAATCCGATTGGAGCAACGTCACTGGTGGAGTTCCCCAAGGCTCAGTACTTGGACCAATATTATCTATTATATCCATAAACGACATAGATATAGGCATAGACAGCAGCAAAAGTAAATTTGCTGATGACACTAAAATAGGGCGTGTAATTAAATCTGACGAGGACTCTGCAAAACTACAGGAAGATCTAAGCAAATTTTTCAAATGGTCTGAAAATTGGCAGATGAAATTCAATGTGGACAAATGTAAAGTACTCAGTATAGGATATGTACACAGGGAAACCAGATACCAGATGAACAACGATGTTATTGAGAAATCCGACTGCGAGAAGGATTTCGGTGTAATGATAGGTAGGAATCTTAACCCAAGTAAACAATGTGTATTTGCTCGAAACAAGGCTAATAAAGTACTTGGGTTCATACAAAGGAGTGTTAGTTACAAGACTAGCGATTCACTGTGTCAAGTGTGTGTCAGGGGATGTGTATCAACCAACAATAAGTTATGAACCTCATAAGAAACATACCACCAACATGCTACAGGGAGGAGTCACATGGAATTAAATATTCACGACACGAGTAGTTTGTGTTTATTATGTATGTTAGTTCCCGTGAGGTTAATTATACATGGTTTAACTTTTGGTGTGTTTACAGTATATCGCTTGGCCAGATAGAATTAACAGAATTACTGTCTACCTGTGAATAATATTAAGATTATTTGATCAATAACTAATAAAAAAATAATAATGTATAGTTATGTTATATGCGAGTAAACTTTATTAAGACTGCTTTGGTAACTTTGATAAATTTCAATTTTGTAACTCTCGTCGAAGCTACTTTTGTAAATTTCCTCCATACTACTTCTGTAAATAATACTTTTCCAAGTTCCGTTTGTAACTTGAAGTTATTAGTTTATAACTTTTGTAAATATTGCTTTTGTATCTTCCGAAAGTATAATTTTTTCATAAATTTCGTAAATATTACTCAAAATTGTCTCTGTCTGTCACTTGTTTGTGTATCCTTCACTTTGCTGGTGCGAGTGAATCAAGAAAGTGGGAGGATGTTGTCACCCCATGTCATGGGTTGCGTTAGGCTTACCCATGCAACCAATTCCAAAGTTTGTTTTACTAGAGATAAGGTACCCGGCGAGGCATAACTGGGACATATATTTTCCATTAGTGGTATGTTAGCCAGCTTTTAGGGGTGGGGGGTGGGGGGGGGGCAGTGAGACAGTGTTGTACTGTTCATCGTCTCACACCCAAAAACCTCATTTTAAGTAGTATCCCCCGTGGCCATGGGTTAGTCAAGACGCCCACCTCCTCCCTCCTGAAGGGAATGGGACACCACACAAGAGTCCTCCACCGCCACCCTGTCCTGTGGACAGTCGTCGACACGAGACTAAGTATGTTAACCTAGGTTGTTATCCCCGTGGAAATATCACTTGTGGATGCCTGGTTGCAACAAGAGCAATCCAGGCGGGCCTATCAAACCTACAGTAAATGGTTAATCAATTCACGCTTAGAGTTCTCCTGCACGACACCCGTCTACAGTGACCGTGATCGACACGAGACTAAGTGTGTTAACCTAGGTTTGTTATCCCCGTGGAAATATGACGTGTGGAAGCCTGGTTGCGACAAAAGCAATCCAGGCTGGTCTATTGCACCTAAATGGTTAATTCAAGTCACGCTTACCAGTTCTCCTTGCCGCGACAACCGTTTACAGTGACTGTCAGTGACGCGAGACTATGTGTGGTAACCCAAGAGTACTTTTTGTTGTTATTGCCCGTGGAAATAAGTCTTGTGCGGAAGCCTGGTTGCAACAAAAGCAATCCAGGCTGGCAGTAAATGTATCACTTTAAGAATTAAGGCTCTGTTAAGTCATACCCATAGTAGAGTAATCACATGTGTCCCCAAGATGAAAATTCCCTCTTTTATAAGATTAATTTTATACAGTGTGAACGTGAGTGAATCATATATCCATGCAAATTGTAAATCATTGTATGGAAGCTTGACGAATAAATGCAAGTGCAATTATCTGCCCGTATCTGTGATCCTATCTTATTACTACTAAAGGTAATGACTGACTGGTTATGACAAAGTATAACCAATAACTTAGATGGATGTTGGAAATTAATGGAATTCATTAAATCATCATTTATCAAGTATAAATCATGGAATGTCGAGTGGTGGAGTGAACTTCTACGTAGATACGCCATAATCTCCTGTAAGTACCAGTGTGAAGGTATCAAACTCTACGGTAAGAAACACAACATATTATAACCTTTATATAATATAATCCACTCATACTACCACTACGAAAACCACAAACCATGACACCCCATCAGCGCCATTTCTTAAAAATTTCGTCAAAAAATACAATTCTCTTCTTACCACCGCCTCTTCTTGTAGCTCCTGTGGGTGTGTGAGTGGCGGTGGAGGTGGTGTCGGCTCAAAGAACCAGATTAACCCATTAAAATCATTCTCTACACACATTCCTTGCTCCTTACTGACACCTCCGCCTGTGCTTCCTTCTGGGTGGGTGGCGTGCCGTGGTAAGATGAGGGGTTACAGGGAGCGACCGTCATCCATATGTAACTTCATCCGAGAGTGTCACTTCTGATCAGCTAAACTCCTCCGTCACTACCTCTGACAGTCACTACGAGTTTATATGATAGTACTGATATTACGGTACAGTATTGTCTTGGTGCTTAGAAATTACCTTTGATAATACCATTCCAAAATTGTTAAAGAAATATATATGCCTCCCACAGATTAGCAAGTTGTCTCGGTTTGTGGTGCCTCACTACTAACACACAAACACCTCCGTCACCACCTCCCATGGGGTACCAGGGCCTTAAGGGTGAAGAAGGTGATAGTACATCACTACTAACCAACTAACATCTCCGTCATCACCTCCCACAGGGTGCCAGGGCCTGAGGGTGAAGAAGGTGGTGGTGCCGCCCCATGAGATCAAGGGAAAGGGCGTGGAGCTGGAGTGCCAATACGAGCTGGACGGAGACCAGCTGTACTCCCTCAAGTGGTACAAAGGCATCAAGGAGTTCTTCCGTTACGTGCCCGCAGACACACCGCCCATACAAGTGTTTGACCTCCCCGGCGTCCACGTAGACGTGAGTACTTGAGTACTCTGATGCATGTTTAGGAGGGGTCATGGGAGTATTTCATGTGTGATGTTAATTGTTTATGTGGGAGTCATACAGGTGTCTGATCTACCCTGCGTCCAAGTCCATGTGAGTAATGTGTTGGGAATAATAATAATAATAATAATAATAATAATAATAATAATGATAATAATAATAATAATAATAATAATAATAATAATAATAATAATGTCAACGACAAAGAATCAGACACCAAAAGTCAAAATAAAAAAAGAATGGGACAATGAAAACGTGGAAAAACAATATCCATAAAACTCTACGGTGTTATCCCGCCGTGTTTCACTTACTCTACCTCTAACGTTAATAATAATAATAATAATAATAATAATAATAATAATAATAATAATAATAATACTAATAATAATAATATAATAATAATAATAATAATAATAATAATAATAATAATAATAATAATAATAATAATGATAATGATAATAATAATAATAATAATAATAATAATAATAATAATAATAATAATAATAATACAAATAATAATAATAATAATAATAATAATAATAATAATAATAATAATATTCTCGACTCTGATTTTAACGTACGGTATGAAATATTAATCTCGACTAGAAAGGTTATGAATATTTGACGATCTGTAGTACTGAATGTCAGGTAGAACTCTAGTAATCATGAACATCACGACGGGTCTCCGGTACTCATGTCTTCACCCACACGTGCAGTGAACTGATAGACTTATTCTGTCTTGTTTTAAAGTAATTTTGTAATACTTTCTTATTATTATTATTATTATTATTATTATTATAGAATGCTATTAAAGACTCTCAATAACTATTACTCGACAAATTGTGAACGTATTATCTATCATGTTCAGAAATTGCAATATACCATAAATGAATTATTTACAGGTATATCAATGATATAGTAAACATACATTCGATTACAGAAGCATAATATAACGAGATTTAAGAAATGAACAAACGAGAGTTAATACATTTATCACGTATATTTTGTCATCTTTCTTTACCTTAGTGATAAATTAACTTGTTTTTATTTCAGAATTTTCTCGATGTTTCTTTTTGTGCTAAGATGATGAAACTTTTATGCTTAATCTGATCGAGTATACTGACTCATAATTGAGGGAGTATACTGACTCATAATTGAGGGAGTATTTTGAATCCTAACCGAGTATACTGACTCTTAAATAAGAGAGTGTACTGACTCATAACTGAGGGAGTATACTGACTCATAACTGAGGGAGTATACTGACTCATAATTGAGGGAGTATTTTGAATCCTAACCGAGTATACTGACTCTTAAATAAGAGAGTATACTGACTCATAACTGAGGGAGTATACTGACTCATAACTGAGGGAGTATACCGAGTCATAATTGATGGAGTATTTTGAATCCTAACCGAGTATACTGACTCTTAAATAAGGGAGTATACTGACTCATAACTGAGGGAGTATACCGACTCATAACTGAGGGAGTATACCGACTCATAACTGAGGGAGTATACCGACTCATAACTGAGGGAGTATACCGACTCATAACTGAGGGAGTATACCGACTCATAACTGAGGGAGTATACGGACTCATAACTGAGGGAGTATACGGACTCACAATTGAGGGAGTATACTGACTCATAGCTGGGGGAGTATACTGACTCATAGCTGGGGGAGTATACTGACTCATAGCTGGGGAGTATACTGACTCGACTGTGTTAATAATTTACGATGTCCTTTGAAACTGTAGAGGTAAGCTAGGTTAATTCTATAATTCACTGGCGTTGTTTCCCTGACTGATGGAATAATTATTCACAGATCGATAATAGTTAATGGCGAGTAGAGAGAGGGGGATAATGTTGTGTACTTGGTATCAGAACGCGTGGGGATCGTGGGATAATTATTGATGTCTCTTTATGACGTCAGTATAAACCATAAGTATAATAATGGAAATTTTCAATCATTTTTCCACGTCAATATCATTTTATTAAAAGAATAAATGGGAGATGAAACGGAATAAGAAAGTAGAAGAGAAAATGAGATGAATGATAAGGAAGATGAAAATGAAAAAAAAGGTAAGTAAAAGGAGAAGAAAAGGAAAAGAAGGAAATGAAAAAAAAATGATAGAAAAGGAACAGACTGGAGAAGAAAAGGATGAAGAAAAAAAAAGAAGTAAGCAGGAGGAAGGCAATGAAAAATACCCCAACTTCCACATCATAAAATATTGTAAGACTAACCTTAACTTATAATCTCTCTCAGTCTCTCATAGGATCAACCTATCTATAAAACTTGACGCACCTCCTCTCTCCCCCCCCCCTTTACATCCAAGACAAAAGTACTACATCTTATTGGGTACTTTGGATTAGTATGTCTGAAAGGTAAGTGTGGTAGGTTCAGGTGTTTAGGACTGTTGGACCACAGATCACCGGTATGAAGCTGATTAGATAGTGTGGAGTAGATGCTTATGGGTCATAGTGATGAAAACAAATAAATACAATAAAGGATAAAATGGCTTCAAAACAGACATTAGCAAAAATACTTAACAAAAAACAATAATTTAGGTATAGCCTACATGTGACCTTTACTGTCATGTGGTAAAGAGGCTAAAATCCATCACTGTCTCCGCGGTATTAGAGTGAAGGTGTTTCTTCGTGTTTATAAACAACAAAGTCGACGGAGAAAAAGTTGAATAAGGAAGTTGTTGACGTTCGAAGCCGTGAGACAGATTCATGCCAGCCGAACTAAAATATGCAATGTGTTGGGTCGTGAGTCTGATAGTTAATAATGAGAAACTGAAGACGGAGGAGGAGGAGAAAGAAAGAAGAAAAATGTGAATAAAGAAACAGAGAAGGAAGAGGAAGATAATTTAGTGTTTACTTTATATGTTCCCTATTTACTGTTTGATGGTTCTGTCTTCCGAGTCTTAATAATTCTCTTTGTCTTGAGTCTGGAAGAAGATTACTGCCTCAGGTCTTGGCACAATGTTTTCCTGGGACAATATTATGTCTTTTTTCTCGGTATAAGACTATGTGTTATGAACTGTGATAAAACACACACACACACACACACACACACACACACACAAATACAATACAATACAATAATTATTTTTTTCAAGCAAGTAACATCTAAAAGTCAATAATGACGTTCCTGACGTTTTTGGGGATATATGATCCCGTAGAATGTGAAATAAAGTCTCTCGAGTCTCTCTAGTCACCTGTAAGAATACGAACAACATTGGTATGACTGTTTTAACACAGAGGGGTCATTGGTGCCTCTTAACTGCGGTCTTTTATCAAACAGAATCTCATCTTCTTTGAGAATTAATCAATTTAAAATAGATTTCAAAGAATAAATAACATTATTTCCATATCTGGCTGATGTAAATATTGGATACCTGAGTTTACATTTACGGTGAAAAGGTACTACATTTACATAAGACTATGCTGCCAGGATTTCCAAGGAACACATCTTTTCTCCACAGACTGGCGCATAATAAAATGTGTTCCCTTCCTACCTCACAAAAACAACACCGAGAAAATTTAGTAAACGGTAGTAAGTGGTTAGCCATTTTTCTGTATTTTCTGTTCTGGTGTTAGTTACGGTATGTTTTTTACTTAATCTCTGTCGGTGATAGAGCAGCATATATATACCACACGAGAGGATATGCTCATTACTTTATATATTCAGCTGTAATTATTATGAATAATGTATGTTTCTCTCTACCTTACTTGTGACATTGAATTAAAATTAACTGCCAGAAGCTTTAGATGTGTTTTGACTTACGGTCTCTCTCCAGAACCATTGTGTCTTTGATAACGTTCGCAGTCACTCTTGATGCTGTCCATTTTAATTCTAGAAAAAAATCCTTCCTGCCTTGCACAGAAGCAATGGGTGAGAGTGGCACTTCTAAGCTACCTTTGAAGAGCTTATCACCCACGTGTCATTTATACCCCCCTCCCCTCACCTTCCTTCCTTCCTTCCTTCCCTTAACCTTTCCCACCCTCCTTCCCTCCCTCACTCACACAGGAATTTTTTTTTGTGGATGCGAAGGATTGAATATTATTTTACCCAGAGTACGTTTCATGTATTTCTGAGGTGAAATGAAGTCATCTTTTGCATTAGCATATTTCACGAGGGAACTAATTTGTACTGTAGTAAGTTGTCTGGTGCGAATTGTCTCTTTGACAGACTTTATAGCGAGTTGAACCCAGACTTAGAGCTGTTTTGAAATCAAGTGATTTTACAGGGTATTAGCTGCAGTCATACAGTGGGCGGAGCTTAGTTATCCCTCGACTCCCTCCACCCCACCAGAGCCCCGCCCTTCTTCCGCCATCCCAAAGCCATGTCATCCTTCCATCCTCCCAAAGCCCCGCCCTCCCTCTACCCTCCCAAATCCCGCCTCCTTTGCATCCTCCCTAAACTCCACCCTCTTTCCATCATCGCAAAGCCTCTCCCACCTTCCATCCTTCCAAAGCCTCACGTCTCCTTCCATCCTCCCAAGGACCCGCCTCCACACCTTCCATAGTCCCTTTACTTATTCACTCATACTCTCCCTCTCTGCCCTTCCAGGTCTCTTTCATCCAGACTTTTGTCTCTTGTACTCCATCCCGACCTCCTTCTCCTCCCCAGCTCTCCCCATTTCTCTTCAGCCTCTTTATATGCTCTTCCTTCCACTTCTCTCTTCGTTCTCTCATTCTTTCCCTCCCGATTCCCTTCTACAGCCTCCCTTCCTTCATCCTCCACCATTTCCTTCTTCCAAGCCTCTCTCCCTTTCTCTTCCTCCAGTCCCCCTTCTGAAACCTCGAAACTTATTTCCTTTCCTCTCCCTCCAGCCTACCATCAACTGTCTTTTCCCTGCAAATTTCCTTCCCTCCTTCCCTCCTCCCCTCTTCCTCTCCCTCCAATCTCCCTGCATTTTTCCTCTCCATCTAACCTCCCATCCTACCTTGTCTCCCTCAAGCCTTTGAT